GTGAGACCATTTCAGAAGTGGTATCTTCAATTGGTACTGCTTTTGGCCACTTCGAGGAACTAACCATGCGGGTTCGCAACGAGTGTGTCCGCAAGGTTCTGGTTGGTCCTCCACGATATTCATATGAATGTGGTAAAAATGAGCTTTCGGTGCAAAGAAAGAACCGAATGAATCTTCGTCTGGCTTGTAACTGGACACTTTTGACAGGTAGGGTCTGATCAGCCTACTCTGTAACTTCTCCGCCCTCCCAACACGGCAGAAGGGTCTTGTAACGGGCCTGATGATTGCCTGCACACCTGGATGAAGTGATTATGCAACGTATTTATCTTGGAAGTGGTTGCCTGGTGGACACAGAGTGTGAAATGGCATGTTTGCCAAATCCTACTGAACACAGTTGTAGCCCGACAGTAGTAAGTGACAACTCAATCCGGCCCCTGATCTTCTTTTAAAAGCCAGGCCAATCCAACAGGGTTAATACCCTCGATGCGGTTTACTGAGGGTACACCAGACAACGTGCCGGTAATGTGGCCAGCTGCCTAAGATATTTGGCGGATATCCGAACTGCACTGTATAATGCGATCCGGTAGTCACGACTCACGTGGAGATTACTTGTCGCATGCTGAGCCAGGATGGACGATTGGTGATTTTTCACCTGCAAAAATGAAGAAATCAGGACTGTTGCGTGTGTTCTGGCTTTATCCTCAGAATGTATTTTAAAAACATTTGCTTGTCTGGCTTAACCCAGTTTGTTTACATGACTATATTAAGGTTCTTGTCTCTATTGGCCACACTATCATGTTTTGTTCCGGCCGGAAACCGTACTACCTGAAAATTGAAGGCCTGTAATTAAATTCTGTGAGCATGTTTTGCTGTAAAGAAGAAGTCTGACACGGTTACTTCACAGTTTAAGTACACTTTGCTTGTTCGACAATCCAGCGTTTTTAATTGGAACGGTTTTGACTTCAATTTTTGCACCCCTGGAATTCATATTTTTTTTATGGGCTAAACAGCAATCTTGGACACAACAGTAAAGTTCAACCCGGTGTTGAACATGGCTCTTAGAACAGCACACAGGTGGGACTTCCCTGCCGACTATGCTACGCGTTGTCTCGCGCCCTGCAGCCACCTCGAGTAAAGGGCTTTCCGCCGCCACTAGGTGTCGGCTAGCTACTGCCAAATCGCTTCGACGTTTGTACCAGATGCATCTACGGTAATGCTTAAGAAAGAACTCGAATCATGATGAACAGGCTTGGCTGCATTTGTGGTGGCTTTCTTGACCACAGAAAAAGTGAGTGTGACCAGGCTGTCCTGAGCCACACATTTTGGGTTTCATCGGAGATGATCAGCTGGGATCTCATGGGAGAGGCATAGTTGAGAAATATCCCTAGGCAACAGCCTACCAGGTCTCTGAGTGTGTGAATGACCATCGGTTTATCCATCACTGGGTATCTGCCTTTGTGGTAGATAGCATGCCCAGAGGAATCGAACAATTTGGCTCCAGTTTCACATTTCTGGATTTCCACCATCATACCATCCTTCTGCAGTCTGCTGAGTGCGAGATACGGGTGCTAGTGGTGAGTTTCCTTGTTCGGACTCGCAGTGGGACAGTCTTCGACGTAAAAGTGGAAAAGATCCAAATTACAGAAAAGATCATACATATAGCGTTGAAATGTTTTAACTTCATTCGAAAGAATACGAAACACGTGCATTAATCCAAACAGTTCAAAAGATGCAATAAAGACTGCTTTTAGGATGTTTTCTACAGTCATAGCTATCCGATTGTAAACTTAAACTAGATCGATCTTCGAAAATACGTTCGTTCCGCGTGGGGTAGCCGTCAAGCGGTAGCAGGGTTTTTTAAGCTTAAGTCGTCGGTAATCCCCGGTCAGACGCCAACCGTTGCCGTGCCTACCATGAACCACATGTGTTGGCGATGCCCAAAAGCCCACTTGACGGTTCGATAGTGCCGAGCTCAGGCACATGGTCAAATTTGCGTTTGGCCACTCTGAGTTTATTAAGGGATGTGTTGTGCTTTGGACCTGTGGTTGTGATGCGACGCACGGCACTGCCGGCTGCGCAACTTAGGGTCTGTCTCCGCTGGCTCGATTTTGAGTGTTTTTCAAAAGATCCGATGGAAGGAGTCGACTGGGTGTTCACTTCCTACGATGGCCAAATTCCAACTAAGGTGGGTGGTTCCGTTAGTAAATAACTTCGTATCACTCTCTACCAGTCGCCGTCGACCAGCACCTAAGAGCAGCCGGTGATGGTTCAGCAAATCTATAGCAGTGATGGGGATGAAAATGTCAACTAAACAGAAAACTCAGTGAATAGGTCTGTGTAAACTTAAGTTGCGATAAGCATACTCTTCTTCAAAAACCGCGACTACTTTACTCCCGGTTGCTGTTGAAGGATGGGTCACGATGACCCTTGATCGTTGTTGCGGGTAGAAAGCTGAACTCTGCAACAGTGTTGACGGGTTAACGGACCTTTGCTTTCACATCTAGGACTTAAAACGGATAGTTTTTCCTTCCTATTCGATGGCTCCTACCAAGTGTTGGTGGGGCAGTTTTCCGATTTCAGACAGTTTTCGTTGGAAGTGTGCGGCTTTCGACGATTTCCCGCTTCCTCGCCATAGGCTTCAGGAAACCGATACCATTTAATGCTCACCGTCCTACAAGACTTCACCCTTGCACAGGCAGGTGAATCGCCGAAAGAGTTGCGTGGATACGTCATTTTCGAGTTCCTACCTTTGGTTTTTCACTGACAGAATGCACGTTGAAGACAGGCTGCTCGAGATCTCCAACGTTTCATAAGCCGCAGCAGGCAGGTCATCAACACCAACCAGCCGAAGTGTCAGAAGCATGATTTGCGCTGGATGTGGTACCTTCAAAAGAAAACATCGGCGGAAAAGGCCATAAAAAGCTTTTGGTGTACGACGACTTCTCGAGTTCGTGCGAGCCCGTAATTAGCTAAATTTTTCCTGGGCCTGATGTTGAGCAGTGACTCAGGTTGAGGAGCTGCGGGATAACTTTTCCTCAGAAGAGCTACTCTGAGGAGTCCATAGAGTTCACTTGCCTTCGTGTTGAATAGACGTGCCATAAATTGTATGTTTAATTTCCCTGGTGACGATCATGTGATCGCAAAAATCTAGAATAAGGGTCTGTGACACCCTATTCTCGGAAATCAGAGTCACCGTAAAGGAAGCATATTTCGGCGTCGTCCGGCCAGAATGGCGCGAGCTGGTTTGAGTGAGCCATCGCCTTAATGTGAGAAAGCTTGTGAGTCCGATCAGACATGGGTATGAAAGACTGTTGTGCAATAAGAGCTGTCAGTGTGGGGACAAACCTTCACAGGAACGGAAAGGAGTGGATTTGCTGTTTCAAGAGCTTTCTTCATGCGAGCTACCTTAACTCGGATGCCAGTCGCTAGTCCTTCGTTCTTGTAGAAAACCTTGGAGCGCCGAACCAGAAAAGAATACAGTAGGGCAGACAGGTACGAACAGTATATTCCCAAGCCTGGATAGAAGTTGAAACAGGTATGCAGCGTTACATAACATCCGCCCCTTCATTTGGGATACGGACAGGGTCGAAACGACCAGCCGACCCCGCATTGTTCCGATACACCTCCGTACCTAATCCTTTGCACTGCTACTTTCATAACTAGCCCGATTTAACCTTTTACTACCCTATCAAACACCTTACCTCTCCAGTTAACATACCACTGGTAATATCACCAGCATTTATGTCCCCATAATCCTCTTTCCCTCCCGTAACTCTCCATGACGTCACCCCATCTATTGGGCTCGGCCATATAACTGTTTTCCTTCCCAGCTTTCCTGGGCTTGCCTGAATTTCTCTTTTCCTTCTATTTTCCTTCCCTCAACTTCGTTTCTCCCTTGTTTTCCTCGGTTATCTTTTCGTTTCCCTCATCTTCCTCTTACGGCCAGTTTGAATAACTATCTCGCGATATTTCATTTAAGGATCCCATCTGCTACGCAGTTCCAGGACCTCCCAAAAAATTTAACTAACACACAACTACTCTGCGGATTTGCCAGAGCTGGGGTATTCGAATGGAAGGATTTATGCCATCAGGCTCCAACACACACCTGCAGCGGCAGCACCAAAATACCGATTTGCTTTGATTGGCTGGCTGAAGGATCACGTACCTGCTACAAAATGCAACATGGCAGCCTGTCAAACGGCATAAATGCTTGACTATATGCTGTCACCTTAGCCAGTCTGTTAAAGCTATGAGGGTCGGCATCAATGATGAACCTCGTCAGACTTGAGTCTGTCGATTTTGGGGGATTAATTGCCGCTGCAGTTGCTCATGAAGTTTAACATTATCGATAATGAAGAACGCTCCTCTCTTTCAGAGGGGGTAGTCTCTACCCTGGCTATCAATTGCTTTAAGGAAAGGCAAGACAGTTATGTAGTGACTCACGGTTTGCGCTCATCTAGCTGGAATACGAACTAGATCTAAGAAGCTAACTCCTGTCTCACCATTCCACTGCTTTTACCTCTACACCACTTCTTTTTCTACTCTACTCACTTAAGTCCCTTCCATTCTTCTTTCTCGTCATGATTTGGCTTCACCTACCCAAGTTCCGCATATCTTTTTATCCCTGTCGCCTTACTTGCGTGTACGTAGATAACTCCTTCATCTTACTTCTCTTTGTCTTTTACTCACACACATTTGTCTTCTCGGGCTATCTCTTCACTATCCCTAACTCTGTCTTCCGACTGGTCCGAACAACGGTCTGGCAACTCGATATTCGAAGAAACGAACTGCTTCGTAGTCCCAGGTAAACTAACCAGCACCCAATTACTTGTTGGGCTTACCAAAGCTATAGCAGACCAGTGGTTAGGTTTTCTGCACCAGAATCCGACAAAGACGTGGAACCGTTCCGCAAGACCTATAAGTGAGCACGAAGAAATTGAATGGCTTATACAAGCTCTTTAAACAGATATTGGATATTATTGTTTTTATTCTGCAAAGGAAGAATGTGCAACTTATTCGGAACTGGCGGCTTCATTGGTTTCTTTTTGTGATTGCAAGGTTACATGTGGTTTCCTGAGTAGTGAGTGAGTTGATGAGGTTCACATGTGAAATAAACAACTTTCGTGCTAATATGTAATGATGAGGTCTTCTGATGGTGGATGTTCACCTCAGTTGCAGTGCTTAAACGAAATCCATGCTCCTCAATCTATTAATACCTCTATACATGAATCTCCTACTACCGTAAAATGCATTCTAATCGGTGACAAACAGGTTGGAAAAACCAGTCTAGTTGTTAGCTACACTTCCAATGATTATCCAGCGGAATACAAGCCGTCTACTTTGGATACATATTGTGGTGAGCTTACGTTGTCTATAATACGTTTTTTCTGTTACTGATCTAAGGTCTTTGAAACAAAAAGTATATTCTTGTCATTGGTCTTGTTTGTGATGTCTTACAGTTTGTGTGCAGGATAACGAATCGTTGCTTCAAAAATTTGGTGCACATCATATATGATATATTTGCAGTTTTCTTGAACTTACCAGTAACCTGTCACATTCCGAATGAAATGTGACCCACGAAAATCTCAGCTACGTCAAAAAAACAAAGAGGTTATATTGCTTCCGTTATAATCCATTTTGAAAGGAGATGTATAATTTTTAGGAACATGTTGACAAACAACATATGTAGTGACAGCACCATAAAATCTTGCAGTCTAGCGAAGGACATTGAACTCACACATCATGTTGCTAAGTTTTTGTGTTGCCGATCTGAGGAGGTGTGAATTATTAAAAAGACTTCGTTGGTTATACTTAGGTTTGTGCACAATTATTGTGATGATAATTTCGACTGAATCGAAGGGAATTATTTCTCATGTGACTGCGTTTCATATAGAGGATAATTCTATAGAACATAATTCCCCATTGAAGTATACTCTGGTATTTGGTTGCACACTCTAAAACCTAATTACATCTCTGATTTCAACTTAGTGAACCATAGCACCTAATTCCAAGTAGCCTCGCAGTATGGATTATGTCACAAAGTAAAAAACACAGTGACTACAATCTCTTCAGTGCCGGTGCTTTTCTGTGGGGCATTTTCAAGCTTTGTAATCTAAAATCTATAGATCACCTACTATCCAGTGTCGTGAACCTAATGTCTTTTTGAAAGCTTAAAACCCTACTTAAATAATTCTTCACGGGTTCATGCTAATAACTTACAGGTGATAGGGGGCCAGTGAGACTTATTTCTGTCGATGTCAGAGTTCATGTGGTTTAAGATTTTGTAGTCGACTAAAAGAAGATCTCTACCATACGTACTTTAAACAGAAAAAGCAATCAGAAATAGATAAGTTACTGGTCATAGTTGAGAAACCATATTTACTGTAAATTTCCATCCATTCCTTTATTAATTTACTGCAAGCCACTTGGTAGTCGCTAGAAGACAAGATCCCATCGTTCTACCAATTGGCATCATCAGAATTGCGCATAAACCTGTCTAATTAACGAAATCCTTCCAGTGATCTAAAGCTCAGTTGACTAGCCTCATAGAGATACCCTGTAGCTTGAATTACCAGTTTAAGGTCCTCTAATAGTCACACAAAGACGGCAAGATTCTGTAGTTCGACCTAAATGACTATTGAGTGTATATTTGCAAGAATGATATTGTCTTTCCAATCAACTGAATCCAGTTTCCCATTTATGCTCTTAGAACATCTCATTGATTCAACAGGACAGTGAGCCATCTTGGAACATGGCTTGTTTACTTCATTGTGGAACTCAGTCGGACATTCAATGTCACTAGGCATTTCGTGTTGGTCTGAATTAGTCATTACAGTCTACCTTCCTGTCCACTACATTCGGGAGTGTTAAAGCTGTGGTTAACGATTACATAGCTTTTATTTTATATAACTTGGATGAACCACATCTTGCATATGCAGCCTAAATTTATATTGCTGCTCTTTTTATAATCGATGGTCTTAGGTTGGTACACATTTTGTGGTATCTTTTTTCGCAATCATCACACTGCATAACGTCATACGTATGGAAGAAATACTCTCTTTCCTTACTATGGTGTGGAGAAATAACCATTATTTTCAGTCAACTAATGAATGAATACCAATAAAAGTAAGTGATTTTACGTTATTACACAAGACTGAGTAACACCAGTGAGTGGTCGTGCGTAAAAATATGCCGAAAAGTGACAAGATTTTGATGACAAGAAACTCAAAAATAGGATATGGAACATTAACTGAACCGTTTCAGGTTAAAGTTTACCAGAAAGCTTTTAATATGATAACCACAACAGATTTATCTAGTGTTGAAAAAGTCACTCCCTTTTACAAAACATGAAGTATGTTTTCAGATTTGTTGTTTAGGAATAGAAAGCCGTAAGCCTGTATTAATCCTTTTCCAGTGGATCTTTGTGTCTGCCAAGTCTTCTCTAGAATGAGTCAATTGGCTATGAGGATAATTTTTTCAGGTGGTTTCAAAATTTGATTACTCAACATGAAAACCTATACTCTTTGAAGATGATGTTGGTCCTTGGCTTTTATACTCTCTTGGTGTGTTCTACTGAGTGTTCCAACCTAGTGAGAAGGAAAAGGGAAAATAGATCAGGTACAAATTAATTCCTAAATCCTGTATAACATTAAATTTCCCCTCTCTTTGGTGTAGTAAAGAGAAGAGGTCGAGCTATTGGAGTTGTTTTTCATAAGTCAAGCTAGCCATCAAAGTGCTCATACGAGTTTCTGACCTCTGAACTCTTTGCCGAAGGTCTGAGTCAAGCAAGGATTTGCAGCTTGTGGAGTCTGGCTTTGATATAAGGACATGTGTAAGGTGGTGAACATATCGCCCCTTATCCTCATAAAATGTCTTCGTAGTGCTTAGTTTCCTAAAACTCCACACTTCAATCATCCGGCAGTGTACTGTAGTCTTCAAATCATGACTTAATATGATTCTCAGGTAAGTGTGAGTTATTACTGAGGATAGAGGAGTCCCATTAACATCTTAGATATTACTATTTGCACGTTTTCTCTGGATGGTTGCACACTCAACTGTTGATAGGGATTAGCCATTTCTCTGACCAGTTTAACAAACTGTTTATATTTGTCTAAAGTGTACATACGTCTTCGTCATCCTTAATTTCCCGCCAGTCTTAAATCAGCGTAGAGAAACATCGGAGATTCCGACAAACTCGTCATGAAGAATAGTAAGGGACTCATAACTGCCAACTTCTAAGAGGAATTGGAAATTAATTCCTACTCCTTGTCTCCTACCAACAGGGAACTCTTCATACAATTGAATTGTTAGTGATTTCGTGACCTTCCTCCTTCATGAACAACCTGGAGTAGGTTACCTTATCAAACGCCTTACTGGAGTCTAAGAAGGCGATATCTACAGGTTACCTGTCATCCGTGAAAGTGACCCAACTTCCTATGACTGAGATTTGTCAAATGTGAGAAACTTTTGTGAAAGCCATGTCGCGAATGTGGAAATAGGGTGTTTTTTTCTAGGTGAACGTAATAGCTTTCTTGATTCCTCCTCGGGTTTTAACTACAATGCTAGTCAGGCTTTTCGATCTGTAACTTGATGGGTGTTGCCTGAAAGCTGGTCTATGGATGTATGTGACCATAGCATCCTTCCAGTCGTACGGGAGCATGCCTTGACTGACAGTTCAAATGTATCAGGCAGTAAGCCAGCTACAGGGTGCGAAATCTCTAAGCGGCCTTGGATGCAGCTTATAAGGTCCCTTTGCTTTATGCTTATCCAGAGTATTTGCTGTCCTAAAGACATCATTGTGATCGATATCCACAGATGTTGTACTGCCGGATGTCAAGGGTTCTGCTGGTGAAGTCATATGGAGATGTGGCCCATTGGTCTAAGCTGTCGACTTCGAAACAATGGCTCACGACTTTGAACCCCGCTCCACCTACCGAGGTCTGAGCAGTCAGGTAGTATCATTAGCCCTCACACTATAGGTGTGGCTCATTGCCTGCTGCAAAAATGCACACAAGGTCGCTGTGTATTTCTTTAGGGATGCTGTATCCATTAGAGCTTCCTAATTAAAGACCGAAAAACATCCGACAACAGCCTCTGCTTTATTTTTGTAGTCTTCAACTAACTGGTTGGTTTTTGTTTCTTCGATTAAGGTGGAGATACCACAGTATGTTTTATTGCTATTGTTCATATCAGAAAATAGCATCTTTGGATGTTCTATTGCAGCCTGGGCGAAACATATTTCAGTGCATTTTCGGAACTGATGTATAGCGGTGAAACATCTATTCTAGGCTTTTTTGCCCTGTTTCTTCTCCTTCGGTTTACCAAGGTTAGTGACAAAAGTCCAAAAAGTTTTCTTTTGTCGTAAGGAGACTTCGAATTTCACGATTTATCTAGCAAGGATCGTTCACATCCCTTCATGCCATTCCATGGGATGAATGGTTGTCACTCCAACTGACAACTGTGTGAAGGAGCATCGTACAGGGATTTGAGATTGGCTGTAAGTTCTTCGAGATATGCTTCCGATTCAATAACTTATTTTCGCCTTCCACTCATTAGGCACAGTTGGAGTGGCGACCTAGCACAGGACGGTTGCTGTGAATCTTAATCTGATTACAGCATGACCACTTTTAACAAGGAGTACAAGGTGCTGGATAAGGAGTACATCATCTACGTGAGAGGATGGAAGTAATGAGATGGGATAATCGTATCGGGTTGGTACTTTGATACGCTGTAGAAGAGCCAAGGAAATTTATTTATCAGTTAACCTGTGGCCAACGGGATTTCTTAATGGCTCTTTTGTTAGGCTGTTTGAGGAAACTGATAGTACTTTGAAGTTTCTTGAAACTAGACATCTACATTGATCTGTCCACAGCGTCAGTTTGTTCAAGGAGAAGTCTTCCACCTCCTATTCAGAGCTACTATATACTAGGACTAGGTTAACTTCCTATTCCTTGCATTTCTGCCGGCAACGTACCACTCCACATAACCCCCACTTTCATGTGTTACCATTTATACAGCACTTACAGCCAACGTATTTTTAACGTAAAAGATGATGCCACTACCTTTATGTGCTAATCTCATTTCGAAAAGGAACGAATCCTTTTAATTGTGTTTCTCTATCACTGGTCCCAGAAGAGAGCCGCACTTTTTATCAGATAGCAGTTATTAACAATCATTTTAACATTGGTAAGGAAAACGAAATAAAGTTTTTTTGGAAAACATCAGCAAAAGTCCATCGAAAACTGTTTAGACTTATAGGTGACTATGAGAAATTCACTTAGAGTGTTTCCTGCCTACTTTAGTTGAAAATTATTTCAATTAAAGCAGAAAAGCACAATGGGCTTCGATGTATAAGCACTAACAACACCAAAGATTTAACTGAACATGGAAAAGTCATTCCCTTTTCAAAATATGTGGCCAATAGTTCTACCCTGAACTATGCCTCCCGGTGTTTCTTATTGTAAAATAATTCAACTAATATTAGATTGAAAGACTTCTGTGGAGTATCATTCGTTTTGATTTCCTTGGATGTTAAACTTGAAAATGTTGAAATCGATTCTTGTCAGCCACGTAGTGTGTGTCAGACAGCATATCTGCCTAGAATTTTATTTAAAGAGTGACTTGTGTACTTAAAATATTTCTAACCGATGTAATATGATCCTATTTTCAGCTGCAATGTTCCTTGTCATTTACATTTGTTTTGTTGATCACCGAATTTAACAATGCGTTTATATGAGTAAGGAAATAATGTAGAAATTCATACAAATGTTCCTAGTTCCTAGCCATTATATTTCTTAACAGCAGATAATAAAGAAAAAACGGGCTGATATTGGGATGAATAAAAAAAACGAATAATCGAAAGTAACTCATCAATAAAATATTGAGGTTTGTGGGGATATATTTATTGGTTTCAGGTTGGTATTCATCATGGATTGACATTAGTTGAAGAGGCACTAGAAACCTGGGAGCACTGGACAACTGTTTCTTCCTAGTGTGGGACTCCTCATTAGTGCGCACCCATAATCGCCTGCCATGGATGTAGCCCAAGAGCTTCTAGTTCCGTGGCCAACAGGTTACCATTGAGCTACTGGGTTGGGATCTAGTGGTTCATATAACCTACTTCTGTCGGTTCACAAAATAGTGTGACCTCCATCAATTGCCGTAGTTCGGTCACTACTTCTCATTGAAAATTTGGGTATCTCATCTCAAGGTGAGTCACCAATGAGCATTAGAGTAATCCAGGTTTTGGAATTTTATAGGGGTTTATTAATTGATTTCAGGCTGATATTCATCGTCGACTGGGATCGCTTGTAGAATCATTGGGAACCGGACGCAAATTAGGTTTAGAACTCAACTGATGCGATCGATTTTGAGCTTTTTAAATTGCTCCTCTCAGATGATGGCTTCATGTTAGTTGCGGGAGGAGGGGGAGTCCGTGGGTTAAGTCGTGCCACCTGATGTTTTTAAAGATAAGAGTAGGAAATCGCTGATAAGAGTAACGGAAGTACTAGACAGTGTATAGTAATTAGAGGTGGTCCCGTCAGACTTGTTCACTTTATTGACCATTCTAGTCTATAAGAAGGGAGAGAAATTTTATTGTGGCAACTATAGGGGAATGAGTTTGACTAATATTGAGTCCAAGACCCCGGGTTGCAGGTTGTTCGCTGCCCAGCTGGAGATCATGAAAAGCAAAATGAAGAAAAGCAAACAGGTTTAGAACCTGGACGAAAGTGCATCGATCATATTTTCACCCTCCGACAGATTCTGAAACCCAAGGATACTTTCCGACGCCTAACACTTGCCATTTTTCTTTAATTAAAGGTAGCATTTGACTTCACAAACCGAGAATTTTCCTGGTAGTCTCACTGTAAAGAGAGTACCGACCAAGTATGTAACGCTAATCAAAGCTGTCTACTCGAAATCACAGCGTGTAAGGGCGTATTGGTAGTTGTCATCAGGATTAATGACAACTGGTGGTTTTCGCCAGGGATGCCCACTGTCACCATTCTTGTTCAACCTCGTTATAGATGTAGTAATGCACATAACGTTAGGCACATCTAATTTCACAGATATTGATCTACTCCTTGAAGAGCATCTTGCTGACTTGGAGTACGCAGATGACATAGTCCTACTAGTTGAAGACACTGACGAAATTCGAGGTCTTCTGTACGCGTTGAGCAGAAATCTGTCCATGTTTGACTTGCGTCAGATTTAAAACAATGCTTATAGGACTGGTCTGCAACGATTTCTTGCCTAAGGATAAGGAGTGAGGTCGTCGAATGGGTCGACAGCTTCACTTATTTGGGAAGTTACATCAGTCCAAATGTGCTGGTCGCTGAAGAAATCTCAGCTCGGATACAAAAGGTCCGTTTAGCACTTGCCAACTTACGTTGTCTGTGGCACAGACTGGCAAGATATTCCACTATTTATTAAAGAACAAGTATAGTGTGCTGGAGTCCGTTCTGTTCTATTATGTAGCTGTGAGACATGGTCGTTAAAAGGAAAAGATATGAAGTCGCTACAAGGTTTTGATCACAGGTGTCTTCAAACCACTGCTTACGTTTGGTGGGATCAACGTGGTAGCAATGTTGAAGTTAGGCGAAGGTTACTAGGCAAATTGGACAAGTCAATTAATGAGGTTGTGAACCTTTATCGGCTGAGATAGCTGGAACATGTGTTGTGCATCCCGAGCCTCCTCGTACTGTGACCTGAAACGCTGGGTGAAGTTGGATTAGTTTGGAACAAGATTCAGGGTTCATAGTGGCCAGACCAAAACATGATGGAGTCTCCTACTGTTGGTCTGAGCCGTGTGGGGAGATGTAGACTACCTGCCCGTCTGGGGTCCGCGAGATGATGGGAACCAGGGGTTGAGGACTGACTCTTGGTGACATGGCTGAAAATCAGTCACAATTGCGTAGATATATTTACTCTTTGAGGTCTTCTCCAGCTTGGATATTTACACTAACCTTATCTTCAGATTGTTTGTTTTCTTATATACCTTTGTTTCCTCTTATATCAGCCTTTTTCTATGCACTTGTTCATTGCATGCCAATGTGAAGTATGGCAGTTTGAACCGATGCACTTGTGTACTAGGTTGTGCGTCGATTTGTGAGTTCATGTCAGTGCTTACACTGAGATATGTTTTGATGTGAAGACTTAAATATCAACCATCTGTTCCAATTAAGAATGTACATACTTCAAGTTACAGCAGTTTCTTCCATGGACTCATCCTAAACTCATTCTTGAGTGCTTCTTAATTAATTTATAATACAAGAATGAAATGTTCATGCAGTGAAAATGCTGACAAAATGCAGTCATATAAGGAGCAATATTAGAATGTTCATGATAAATTTTTCCAGCCTGAAATTTAAAGTGTGACTCCATAGCCATCATGTATCTGGGACTTACATCAATTTGCGTTTAACTACTCATACTCCCCCCCCCCAAACTCCTTTATGAGACCATAGAGTTGCAGAAGTAGGGTTTGATTAGTGGATGATTCTATTCTGCTATCCTCGTAAAAAGGTCATCATCATCTCTCTAGACTTCTTTTTCTGTGTTATGATGAGGTTTGATAGGAAAGTTAAAAGGATTTATGGTAGGTTTTGTGTTATTTGCGTTTGTGTGGCTGTTTCTAAAAATTGAGCACAGTTCGCATTCCTCTAATTCAGCAGCACATTGGAGGAAAACGAACAAGAGGGATTATATAATTAACGAATATGCAAAACGAACTGGAAATGAGTGTATAAGATCGTGCTTTTCAAAGTTTTGAGCTCCTTTGAGATAGATAGCGAGTTCATATGAACCGTTGTCATAAACTGAAACTATGTTGATGCAGAATGATCATCCTTGATGTCAAGTGGTTCCCTCCCAAACCGTGATTGGTGTTGTTATTGGTCTTATTTCGATGTTAATTTCCACGAAGTTGACTACCACATATGTTTTGAAGTCAGATTTTATTGTACGGGACGAAGTTGTATTTTGTCAGTGTTATAAATGTCACGCCTCTTCATAACAGTGGAAAAGAGAATAAACTGTGAAGATTATATATAATAATAATATAATATTATATATAAACCTATCAAACACAATCATTCGTAATGTAGACAGTTGAAGTATGAGATACTAGATTACGCGTCAAACTGACCAGTCTTTGCTATATTCTGTAGCATCAGTTCACAATCTACCATTGTAATTCATATGATGTCATAAAAACTGTCATGATGTTACCTTCATTGAATTTTCATGGGGATACATTTCCAAGGTTAAACCAACTTAGTAAGACCAGATAATCTTAATTAAACCAACCATTGAACCATATAAGAAATCTTTGAAAGGTTTTAACTAGCGAGAATAATCTTAGAAAACAGATTGATATAGAAATTGGAAAGGAACAGGAATTGCCCTAGATGAAAGCCTATCCTAAAATTTTAAGTTGCAGTGGGTTATATTGTCGAACTTTTCACTGAGCAACATGAATAATCCTACGTGATATATATCGTATAGCTTAGCGTGTCATTATACTAGTAGTTGTTAGATGTAATTTCGTTTCTTGTGTTTTTTTTCCAGTTGAAGTTTGTGCTGACACACGCCCCGTAAATCTGCATATCTGCGATGCGGGAGGAAAAGTAAGTTGAACCAATTATATTTCGCTTTAGCCAATGTTTCATGTTGTTACTGTTCCTTTTTTAATTTAGGAAATTAAAATCAGTTTTCTTTTACCACCACCTACGAGAATAGTTAATTTGATCTCTGGTTTCTGTTCTTTCAAACTCTTAAAAGTACTTTAGTCAGACACACGGTTTGGCAGTGGTACGGTTGTATACACAGTAATAACTACAGAAACGTTTTTAAGGTATACTCCCACAAGAATATCGACACCGTTTAGTCTGAGCTAGTCGGGTCGAAATGCACTCAGCAACCTTGTGCATATTCGTACAGTTGGCAATGTCGATCACGTTTGTCTGCGCAAGAATACTCTCCGGTGATAACGCCATGTGGGTAATTCTGAGGTGAGGCGATGTGGGTTTGGGCACATTGGGAATCGTCACTCATTGACTGTGGTCATCTTAAAACAATAGCTTCGGTTGTTTGGACATGTATGATGTTATGTCATCTTAGTGGCTTCCACATTACTCACCGCCGCTCTCCCTGGGACTGGCTTGAAGAAGCGATGTTCAGTGCATGACGTGATGCCATGGAATATTTTTGTTCATACAATTCTTCCCTTTGATAAATTTGAATAAAGCAAGAACAATAGTAGTAGAAATACCATATGTTTCGTGGGTTCTCTTCAGCTGCTTTACAACCTATGAAATGTAACGTTTATGGTGAATATTATGTTATACAACGTACTTTAATAAATTGACAGAGTGTTAACGAACTGAGAAGGTAGGTATCAAATATGTAGATTGACCGACATTGATGAATTTGTTAAGACTAGTCTAAAGGTTAACTATTTTTACAGTGATAAAATGAACATTCGAGAGATTCGAAAAAAGTTATGTATAATATATACACATATAAATGGGAGGAGGTTGTGCCGATGTTATTCCAGAATTAGTAAAAAGAACGTCATGGTTAAGTAAACGTAGTATAAGGGCGACAGGTTGTCATTATATTGAGAAATAAAATGAATACAACTCAGAAAGTAAGAGTAGGTTTTGAGATAGATTGAAAAGTTAAGTTCGAAAAAACTAAGGGTCATAAGGTTATGTAATCTTGTACTTACAAACTTAGGAGATTAAAATTACTAACGTAATGAAGATTGACAACAGTATCTTTCTGAATACATAGATCGGGTTTGAGTCTTTTAATTGAAAACTGCTTCAGCAAACCGCAGAAGAGTGGGTTTCCGTTGTTTATTGATCACTTTGAATGACATTTATACGTCGACTTTATGTCCAGTATCAAGCAAATGGTAGGCGATTGCACTTTTTAAACCCTGGGGAACCCTTAAGACTCAAATTCTTCGGAATATGTTCAGAAATGCGTACAAGAACCCTTCTCTCTGTACTTTCAGTGTATGTGCTTTGGGACTTACATGTGAATTGGTAGATACAGATGGAGGTAACAAGAGTTGGGGATTTGCCCACCTTGGACTATTTTAATCAGCATTTGGTCTGATACATGTAGACTAACTTGGCGGGTGGATAGGTGATTTTTACTGCAGCACTCAGTCTATGACCCATCGTTGACGCGATTTCACCCCTTTTGAAGGTGAGGTGTAGATAGACGGGGATCTTGTCAACTGTACTGCACCTACCCGACCGATAGCTGCTACCTTGTGGTGGTCGGGCTTGCATATCACAATGGTCCGACGAGCTATGCTGGTGGAACGCTTGTTCCCTCGAGGTCCTACCATACCAGAAAGGTCTGTTGGATAGTGGTAAGACGAAAAGCAGTTACCGTTATGGTGTGAATTGCTACAGTATAATGGGGGTCTGAGAGCGAAGTCGTTCGGCTGCTAGCTGGATGGGGTGTGACAGCAGTAAGGTGTTTCCCTTGGATGACCAGCAGTGCTATGCTGATGCTGCCTTCTCAGCAGGAGTGGGGGTTAGAAAAGGTGGGCCCCAAAAATAACACTCCACCATACCCCACGGTCTGCCGGGCCGGCGATATTGGTTCGTTTTTCGTTTCTTCTCGACTATCCGGCCCCAAAACAACAAAAGTTTAGAACAACCATACTCAAAAGGCTGTGTGATGGGCCTCAAGCAGATGTCCGATGGGCTCTGTGGACACACAAATCTCTTTCAGGTATCTTAAGAAGAAATAGCTTTCCACGGTGTGGGCAGCCGGGAAGTGTCAACTGCCCTCACAACTTTGTCAGCACTTAAGTTTCTTCAGACTGCTATCCACCTCTCCCATCATTACCTTCTAATTTTCCTTCACGTCTCTCAACTAACGATACTTCATCATCTTCAATTTCTCCTAACTCTGCAACCTTCGACAACGATCTGAATCCACAGAACAACATCCTTGGTCTCCTTAAACTGCGATCCAAATTACGCATTGGGGCCTTCAATGTCCTCATCCTACGTCAAATTGGTTGCCACGTTTCGTTGGCTGTGTTTGTGAGACACACACACAGGACCCAAGTGCGGTTATTGAACTAACCTCTCCCGACCAATCTGGTGAGTCCGCAAAATTCACCCTTCGAGTTTCTGGAGATTCGATAGCTAGCTCTCGCGGTCTTGCAAGTGTAAGCATAGCATTAAGCACTAGGGCAGAAAACTCACTACTGGACTGGATCCCAGTTGATAGTCGCCTCTGCGCTATCCGGCTGAATGGCACAGTGAAAACCAAAAGGAATAGTGAGACTCACCGTTGTCTCTTTGTAATCTCTGCTTACGCACCCACTGACTGCAGCTCGGATGAAGTGAAGGACGAGTTCCACCATAAACTGTCTAACCTCCTCTCGAAAGCCGAACGTTCGGACGTGGTGGTTGTTGCAGGTGACCTCAACGCACAGGTGGGTAGACTGAGTGAGGCAGAAATACATTTAGGTGGCATTTTCGGAGTCCCAGCTGGACTTACGGATAACGGTGATCGCCTACTACAACTGTGCTCAGATAACCGCCTATTTTTAGCTAGCACAAATTTCAGATATAAAGAAAGACACTGTCTGAGGTGGCGTCCACCGAGCTCAACTCAGCGATGGACATAGATAAACCACCTTGCTATTAGTCATCTCTGGAGAGGATCGGTGGAAGAGTGCCGCTCCTTCTGGAGTACGTATTTGGACAGTAATCACGCGTTGGTCCGAGCACGTATATGCCTGCGTCTCAATAGACGTAAGAAAGGTTTGGCAACAAAACCGCTGCGAGTGCTGCTGGACAACGAAAACACCAAAGCAGTGTTCAGTGAGAAGTTGGCTAGGCAGTTATCGGAACAAAATACTGTCACTCATCCAGAAGAAGCTTGGGGCCTTCTTCAGTCTGCTGTAAAAGCAGCACTGAATACTGTAACTGACTCCAAAATAGTGGCTAAAGAGAGCCAGTGGATATCAGCAGTTTCTTCCGAACTAAAGGATGTACGTGAATGCATCCCTGCCTGCAGGCTCTGAGTACAATGAAGAGCGAGCGCAACTTAAAAGTAGACTGATGAAAAGTCTGCGCGACGATCGCGAACAATGGTGGTCAGCGAAGGCTAAAGAGGTGGGAAAGGCAGCGGCGATTGTTAGCAGTAGACAGTTATTTAGACTTATTAAGGAGACTTGGGGGAAGAGGTCAACAACAGTTTGTGAGGCTATAGCGGAGAAGGACGGGTCTGCGATTCACTCGCAGGGGAGACGACTGGGACAATGGGCAGAACACTTCGAGGAACAGCTTAACTGGCCTCCAGCTACCATTGCGTTGCCCGCTATCCGGTCGGATCCTGAATGAAACATTAAGATGGGCCCCCCAACACTAGGAGAAGTCGAGAAGGCTGTAGGTAACCTGAAACGAGGAAGGGCGGCAGGATGAAAGGACTAACTCCTGAGGTATACAAGGATGGTGGTAGGGTGCTCTTAGTCAGGTTGACGGAAGTGTTAACCAGTATATGGGAATCAAATACGATCCCCTCTGACTGGTCTAAATCACGGCCTTTCAGGTTTAGAAGCGGATTGTCGGTTGAAAATGTGTAACTTTATGATATTGGGGAATACGTTTGTTAACTTTTGGATTTGTTTCCCATATTCGCATTTTCAATCGTGAGTTATTAGTTAAGAAATACCGTATGTGGTTCCCCTGTTTCTTCCTGTCTGGAAGGTATGTGATTCAGGAACATAAGCACTTGGATTTAAACTAGTTCATTCCAGCTTCGAAATCTAATGCACTCCCAACCAGGAAACTGAACAGTGTCGTAAACGTCTATGCCTCTCAGGACATTGAATCTGTAGTTAGTTGCTGAATTTCATTATATGATAAATCACATCTTGGAATCTTCGGGCAATGCATATTTGTTGTTGTATCCACCGAGCTTAACGCTACTTCTATGCTAGGTATGACATCTTCTGGTTTTAGATGATCTATTGTCATCTAACCCTAACCCTATTAGGAACCGTTTGAATTCCAGACTAGTAATAAACTGTTACGAGTTAAAATTTAGGCTTAATGACCTACACATAGAAGAGGATGAAAAAAATGATTAGCTTCGATATAACTAGTTTGTATACTAAAATACCAATCAATATGGCACTGGATGCAGTCAGAAGTCAACTAAATATTGACTCGGAACTTACTCACAGAACTAAGATATCGATTGATAAGATTATATTAAGCATACAGTTATGCCTGACCTCCACATTCTTCAAGTTTCAGGACAAAATATACAGACAGACAGGAGTAGCAATAGGATCGCCAATATCCCCAATCTTAGCAGATATATTTATGGATAGTTGGGAAAACATAGCTTTACAAACTTTTAATCCTACACCAAAAATATGGTGGCAGTATGTGGATGACACATTTACTGTGTTGAAATCGGAACATATCGACAATTTCCTCACACATATAAACTCAGTAGTAAACGCAATCCAATTCACTTACGGGGTAAAAAATGAACAAGGAGAATTACCTATATTGGATTGTGGAATAAAACGAAAAACAGACAGTGGCTTGGATACTACTGTCTACAGAAAACCAAC